ACCTCGGTCAGACTCGGAGAAACCAGGACATTAAAATAAATAAACAAGTAAAAAGATAAGCACGGGTTCACACGAAATGCAGCTCCAGCTCTGCAGTGAGGAGTAACAAATCAAAAGCAGTTGGTCCTACAGGCTCATCCAATCTGCGCTCTCCGTTTTTCCCAGCTCTATAAATGAGATTGAACTTTTTTTTAATCAATAAAAGCCAACATCTGACTTTTGGTCTCTACATGTCATGACAACACAACTTCAGCCACAATGTACAATGTAATGTCTTGACTGAATGAAGTAAAAAAAAACTTTAAAGTATTTTAGTGATTAGTTGCAGATTGGAGCCATAACTATAGTAAGGTTCGGCAGTGATACAGTTAGAGTATACCAAAAGTTGCATTGGTGTTGCTTTAAATTCTCTGCTATTTAAATTCTAAATGTTCATGTGTGGACAAGTTTAAACTGTTGTTACATTTCCTGTAAACTCTTCTGCTGCTGCCAGCTGGATTATTTCTCTGTAGCAACACCTACTGTTTAAGAGGAAACTATAAAGCGTAGTGAGTTTCAATGTAAACAACACTGTCATGTTCACCGTGCTGCTTGCCTCACTTCATGTTTATTTTATAGCCAAAAATTATCACTTAAGTGTATTTAGTGACAAAAGGCAAATGTATCATGTCACTGCTGTTTATGTTCTTGCAACGGGCGCAGTGCTAGTCTTCAAATACCGAGATGGAAGTGGGAGGACACACAATGGAACAATCACCAGTTTGAAAAGGTATTAAATGAATGCATACTGCCTAATAGACTATAACAAGGGTGGGGGGGGGGTACCATTACCACAGCTTCCTGTAAAGTGGAAAGATAATAAGTACAGCAGAACTTTTTCTTCAGTCTTCACTGTACCCTCAATAATTTCAGTACTGATATCAGTATATCAGTATGACTGTAATGTTGAAGTTATCACAATGTGACTGTCTTTAGTAATGATTTTGAAAAGTCTGATGTTAAATTCCCAGCAATTAACTAGGGCTGCACAATATATCGAAAATTTATTGTCATCGCGATAATACACTGTGCAATATGCATATCGCAACAACTGCATAAACTGCAATAAATTGTTAACTCAAATGTTTGCATTCATGCATTTTGCCATTCAAATGGAAGCTTGAAGTATTTCACCAGTTGAATGAAGCCCTTTATGTATTTGGTCAACTGGATGGATCTCTTCATATTGAAAAAAAATTCAGGCTGGAATGGAAATTAGTTTTTTTAGGTTGTTTTCCTGGCTTTGAACCCAAACCAGAAATATATTATTTGTTCATTTATCGCAAGTCATATCGTCATCGCAATATTAAGCACTGTTATCACACATGGCAGATTTTCCTAATATCGTGCAGCCCTACAATGAACACAATGCTAATCATGTTACCTTTCTATGGCATTTTCAGTAGCCATGTTTCCATCGAGGTTTTTATGCACATTTTGAAGTATCGCATTAGAAAAGGTGAATGGAAATGGCAGAATTCGAAAAAATGCTCTTATTTCGCAAAAAAAACGTTTTTTTTTTTTTTTGCTCGCTAGAGGTAGTTTTTGGGTTTTTCGAAAAAGAGTTAATGCGCAAAAGTGGAGATGGAAACATATTTGCCAATTAAGTTCTGACGTAGAGAACATTTACCTCACACGATTGACCAGCTGTTTCCGCTGGCTGTCCGGTATCGGTACCTGCAGCTGGACTCTCCTCCTGCTGTTGGTGTCTTCTCACATATTCGCGTAACGTGAAGAGAATTACATTTCTTTTTCTACGTCTCCAGACAGCATGGAACATCACCAAAACTAGTTGATATGGCAGAACAGTTACAACTTTCCTGATAGTAGCAACACGTTCCTGATAACTTCTCTCCATTGTCCTGAAATGTGTATCCCTTGCGAGTTTGCGACTTCTACTTCCTATTTACCTCATCCATGTGTAATGTCACTGCCTGACGTAATTAATTTGTGTAGCCTGTCTGATTCGCTCCAAGTCATTTGATGGAAACACGTCTGATTCTCATTTCTTCTTTCTTTTATTTCTTTTTGCAACATTTTAAAAGTTCGCTCAAAATTTGAATTGCAATTGAATGGAAATGGTGTTAAGTTAGCTTCTATATTTATGTGATTATTAGGGTGTTGTGCACTCTTTATAAGAGCTGAAAAATTTAAACCAGTGTTTATTTATGTAAAATAAGGCATTGTCATTTAAGTTTCGAGACAGCTGAAATTAATCAATAATGTTTTTTATAGTCACACTGTAGACCATTGAAAATTAATCTAATTGAAAAGTGAGGTGCCTCCAGATTCCCAACCACGGCACAGCTTACCTTTCAAGTCTCATCACAACTTCCCATACATGAAACAATGTAGTTATTAGTCAATATAAAGACAGCTTCAACAGTTGACCTTATAGGTGGTATCTCACTGTGTTGTGATTGTTAGAGACTAGTTAATGACTCAAACTTGCAAGAAAATACAAGAAAATTTACATTGCACTCTGTGTTCTGAGCACAGAGGACCAGCTAGCAGTGTTGACATTTTTTTGAAAACCATATTTTTTCTGTGCACGACGGAATAAGAAACTGTATCCTTGGCTGTGCACACTATTTTGCTGCCCACCGCTATTTGTTTTGTACCCACTCCTAAAAACTATCATTGTGGTTTTAGACATGGGTATATTTTCTGTCGGAGAAGTGCTCTCAAGCAAGTGTCAACATACAGCTAGTGTTCCTGAAATGGGTCGGAGGTACCAATGACACGATTCTGGTGGAGTCAAGTTGAGGTTAAGACACCCACAATGACTTTGTGATGATTTTAATAGAGAAGTCATCGCACATACTAGGGCTGTGTATTGGCAAGAATTTGGCGATACGATACATATCCTAACAGAGGGGTCACGATACAATATTTCCCGATATATTGCGATACTGTAAGCAAGGCGATATATTGCGATATATTGCGATTTTTTCCAAAAATTCTATTAAATAAAAACCTCTTACTGAAGAAAAGAGAAGCTAATGTTTACTTACAATGCTAATGCTACCCTTACTCTCTGGCACTCAAGAGGTAGAGGAGCCAAATGGCTGGCTCACTGCTGCCAACTAGTGGTCAGAGGCTGAACTACAACATAAAAATGAACGGTTGGCAAGAAGGTTGACATTTTAAACCTTAATTAAAAATCGATACAGGGCTTTAGAATGTCGATACAGTATCGGGAAATGAAATATCGCGATATTTCAGTGTATCTATATTTTCTTACACCCCTAACATATACTATTATTTGTAATTAAAAATCTTTGAGATACGTTAAGGTAAGGTAAGGTAAGGTAAGGCAAGACTCACTATCAGCGTACAACTGCTTTGATCGCAAAATACAAGGCAATATGTATAATAAAGTGTATTGTTATAATATTTTAAGGCACCTCATGATTAATAATTGAAAATAAAAAGTATTTGCACAAGCCTAAGATCAGCCAAAAGCAGCACTAATTTAAACTCAGTTCAAAAAGGACTCAAAACTTGTAAACCTTATCAGGTCAGACTGTAAGAAATACATCCCAGAGCAAATATTAAACTCATTCTCTGAAGTCTTGGATTTCCTTTTGCTGTGGGGGTGGGATCAATGTTCATCTATATGATGCAATTAGATACAGCAGTCAGTTCGGAGCTTCCCTCCTCTTCCTCCTCCTCCTCCCTGATACATCAGAGCAACATGAAACCCCAGAGAAGCTCCAGTGGCTCTCACACCATATGGTCAGGAAGCAAAAGAACTCCTCTTGGTGACCATAAARGACGCCTTTTTGACTATTCTTAGGTTTCATTCCACCAATTTTCCTAATGTCAGGGGTTCAGTTTGTGGTCGTCGCAAAGCACAGGGGGGAAATGAGCCACAGAGACATGAGATGGAGCTTTGCGGAATGGCCCTTTGTTTGAAATCAGTCTCACTGTATTTCTGCAGCGCAGGAAATGCGAGACACTTATTGATCATTTCAACTGGAAACCCTTTGTGTTGCGATCGACTCGGAAGGCTGCGGGCAAAAATGCCCCCAATTAATGGGAGTATTTCAGCTTCAGCCCCTTTAACTTTAATTATAAACAACAACACAATGACTCCCGGTGATGAGCGTCTTTCATCCTGGAGATGACGCGCTCTTTGTCCGTTTGGACCTGCAGCAGCAAATAAACAAAAAGGGGGGAAAAATGTGGGGGGGATTGTTGCGGATTAAGGCGAGATTCATCCTAACAAGTGACCCAATAACTGCCTTTTGTTTCTTATCARGCCACTCTCAACCGAAGTTGAGTTCGGGAACAAAAGGAGGTAAAAAAAAAAAAAAGATTGGTCTAAGTGGAAATTCTCCCAAACAAACCAAATAAACCCTCGACCGATGCGTTTAYGTTGGTTTTTTCTGTATCCGCGGCTGTCAGCCGTCCTCCTCCCCGCCTCCCCCGGACTCAAAGCCGGGGTGGGGGTGGGGGTGGGGGCTTACGGTGGCTCCAGCCAGCTCCGACTCGGAGAGCTCCAGAGAGAAGTGCAGCCGGTTACTGAAGACAAATTAAATATATAAACAGATAGGAAGGCGAGTAAAAATAAAAACCGGACACAGACTCAACACTCAGCCGTGCGGCTACAGAGGAAGCCCTTTAATTTTTAAACAGCAGCCTGGCGGCTAAGCTAGCGAGCTGCATCAGTTTCGCTCCATGTCAACATTAAAAAAAAAAAAAAACTTACAGAAATAAACTTTAAATTCCGCAACAAATGCCGTCTGKTAAGTCCACGTAACTAAAAGCACAAGAAGAGCCACGCGTGGCTTTAATTTTGATGAAAGTTAAGGCGCTTTGCATACTTTACGCTAAAGCAGGAAAAACTTCCATCAATCATCCCCGAGAGCAGATCCTACAGCGGCAGGAACTCGGAAACGGTCCACGAAGTGTTCGCTTCCGTAAAAAAAAAAGAAAAAGAAAAATACTCCACTTACCGACTTGTAAAACGTTTTCCACACAGCCGGTTTCTAGTAGTCTGATACCCCGGCGGAAAGGCAGTCCGTCTCCCGTTYCCACGGCTCCGGGTGGCCCCACGTTCGCCGAGGTGCCAGAAGTAGATCCTCCGCCGCCACCGGCGGTGGTAGATCCGGTCCCTGTGCCCCCAGCCCCACCGGCAGCCGCGGACGGACCCTCCTCGCCGCTGACTCGGCACTGGAACGAAGAGTACATGCATATCTCCTTTTCGTTGCGGGGGAAAGACCAGTACACGATACGGCGCTGGACGGGCTCTGGGATCCGCTCGAAGCGCTCTTCGACTCTCTCAAAGGCCCACTTTTCCGCTACTGCCTTGGCGGCGCAGTCCAAAAGAGACTCCGGGGAACGGTACCGGGAGCCGGGCAGCCCGCTGCCATGGCCGGGCCCCGGACCGGGACCTCGGGGTGCGGGTCGAAGGCAGGGTCTTTTGCTGGCGGGTGGTAAGGAGAGGAGAGGATGAGGCAGTTCTCTGCGTCCTTCCGCCATGGCGAGCCGATCAASACTGACTAGACGGACCGCGAGCGGACACCGAGCGGCAGCAGGAAGCCGAAAGCGCACACACAAACGCGCGCGTGCACACATACACACACGAGCGTTCAGCGTCGAACACAACAATACTTCCGGTTTGTACTTCATAATAAAACAACACAAACAAAAAGGAGGGGGGGGGGGGGATAGAAGTTACATCAATTTAATCTGAACATATATTCTCTTAGAAAACATAAATTTGTAGATTTTATAGGTTAAATGTGATTAAAACGCTGTTTACTAATTAATTTTCTATTTAAGAAAAGATTACGAAATAGATGCCACACTGAACTTCTACAGGAGGTCGGTAAAACGAAATATATAACATTAGAGACCGTGTTGTCTTTTTTATTTTTTTATCAAGTTGCATTCATTAGTTCAATGTTCAGAGCAATTAATATATTACAGGTGTTTGGTTAAGGGTTAAAAAACTCTGGATCTTTTTTTAAAGTACATATAAATTTAATTTTAATATATGGTTTAAGTTTACAGAATACCCCATTTCTGGATCAAACATACAAGGAACAAAAAAGTGTAATCTCTATTTATCTCATTTTTTTTCTGTAAATCAAAAGCACTGGATGGGTTATTTATTGAAATGTTTAATCTTTTATCAAAACAACATCAGAATATTAGTTGTTTACCTTTACTACTTCCTGTTCTGTCATCCTAGATATTTCCAAGAAGTACCATCAGAAATTTTCCTATTTAAATTTTACGAAAGGGTCGACTTTTATTTATTTGCTCATCAAAACAAGAAGACAAATCTATTTACAATAATAAAACAAAACGCAATTTATAAGTGAAATGAAAGGAAGCAGAAGGAAGACAAAAATTATAACATCTGCGCCCCTCCTTTTGTTTTACTTTAACTGCTACATGGATTAGAGTCCTATCATGCTAATTATCTGTTATAGTTCAAAACTGAATGCAATACCACCACATTACACTGTAAAGATAGCAATGTAAAAAAATACCATGATGTGTAGTTATTCTTCCCTTCCCTTCAAAGTATTTTATTTTGAAATTCCAGAGTCCTGGCTTCCTGTCTACTTGCCTGTATTTGTGTGAATTTGTACTTTTGATCAGTCAGAAAGAGCACCAGCTCAGAGCAWGGAGAGAGAGTGGGAGCTCAGTGGACTGAGGGGAGGTTGGGAGTGATGCTTGACACTAACCAACACAATAACAAACCTCTTCAGAGTCCAATCAGCATGTCGTGCCAGGTACAACTCCAAGATCACGACTGGTAACCTAAAAACAAAACAATTCCAAAAAAGCAAAATGGAATAAAAAGGGCTGATTTTACCAACAACAAACCCTTCAGAATCTTTGTTTACAATGCTTCTGAGTTTGTAATGTCTAAATTTGCATGTATCTCTGGTTCATTAGGTCATCTTAAAACAAATGCAACACTTTTTTTAAACATCACATTTCTTTTGGAAGCACATTGAATTCCTTGAAATGTTAACTGTCTCACTTTTACCTCATGAATACCAAAGTCGTTGTTTTGCTAATTAAATTCACAGTATTATGCACTTTATAAATATCAATTATAGGTCAGCAAATACACATTGACACGAATGGTTGCAGTCTGCCGTTCTCAGTTTGTTTTCCTCAGCAGGACACACAGAGCGTTTGGTTTAGAATACAGCTCCTTTTTTTATCAGGATGGAGCCACTGCTTATTTACCCAGGGCTATACACAAATGTTAAAGATGTTAAATCTAATCAAGAGCCTATTGAATTACTCAAAGAACATGCATATCACCCACCACACTTGATGCCAGTTTTTTGTTGACAAATGATGGAGTTATATCCATTTTGTTCAATTCTAGACTATGATGTGATATTGTAATCTTGTGTGATCTAGACCAAAGTTTCGATTTATTGGTAATATTCACTAAGGTAAAGACAGTTTTGTGTGTGCTGATGTTGATTAGCTGGGGGAACTATGTTGATTTGGGTTAGCTCTGAAAGTGTATCAGTTGTAGATCCAATAAACATTTGCTGGGTTTCATTGAAATCAATTCTGTGGTTCATGAGATATTTTGCCAACAGACAAACAGGTGACTCCATCAGTTAAATGTCAAGTTTTTAAACAAGAATGCACAATGTGTCAGGCTCAGAGTATGCTTTGAAGATTATTCCCAGGCACTAAAACATCAAATTTGACCTAAATATCTGGAAAAATTGGCTGAGATTTAGCTGTTTATGTGTTTTCTAAGGTCTTTGGCTGTTGTAGCCATCTTGAATTGTATTGACTCCAACTGTTCATCATTTGTACAACCTATGATTACTTCCTGAAAGTTTCACTAAAATCCAGAGATATCTAACAAACAGAGTTAATGCCAACAGTACATGGCAAAAGGTTTCAGCAAAGATCTTGTATGATTGTACTGTATAACACTCAGAACATAGGGAATGACTCACAGCTACTACCGCATAACCTGTTTGCTTAGTATTTGTAAAATTAACAGTTTGAATCATTTCTTTTTTGTGTTTGCTCATTGAACTGAGTTGCCTCCAAACAGTATTCAGCTTTAGATGTTGATTAGTGGTTATTTTCTGGAAAATCTGTTTAAAACCTATTCAGTGATTCATGAACTATTTTAGTAAAAACACAAACGGACAACCCAACATGGGCAAAAACGTTATCTCTCCTTTATAAGCTCAGCCTTTTAAGCAGTTCYTCTATAAACTGGACAAACACATTAACAACAACAATCAAAGTTGTTTGTTCACATGCAAAAGAAGACCATCAGCTTTACTATTGTCTGGTTATTTTCCACGGAGGGCTGAGTCATTTTTGAAATAAATGGTAAATGGACTGTACTTACTGTATATAGTGCCTTTCTATCCATCCAGGACACTCAAAGCGCTTTACACTGGAGACATTCACCCATGCACACACACATTCACACACTGATGATGGCAAACTACAATTGTAGCCACAGCTGCCCTGGGGCACACTGACAGAGACGAGGCTGCCATACACAGGTGCCACTCAGACCACCATCAGTAGGCAAGGCGGGTAAGGTGTCTCGCCCAAGGACACAACAACTGAGTCGACTGGACGGGAATTGAAACAGCGACCTTCCAGTTCCAGGTCGACTCCCCTAACCACTCTGCCACAGCCGCCCCAAATAACAGCATTGTAAAAGGGGGACATTGGACATGGAGAACTCTACCATTGTTTAATGATGGGTGGATTCTCTTCACAAAAATGGTTTCCTTTACTCCTCTCTCAAACCAACGTTCCTCTCTATCAAGGATGAGAACATCTACATCCATGAAAGTGTGACCACTGGCCTGTAGATGAGTGTAAACTGCAGAGTCCTGATGATGTTTTTCTTCTGTGTTGGCCCATTCTTTTGAAMWATGGCTACGTTGTTTTCTCGATGTATAACTGGTCACAGTCCTCATGGCACTAAACAGAATACACAACATTAGTCTGTTTGTGAACAGTCTTTGCCGCAATGTGTTTTGGGGTTTGAAAGCCACTACGACGTCATGTTTGGAGAATAGTCTCGGTTTCTCAGAAACCCCGCAACATACAGAATGACTACTGGTCTGGGTTTGGGGTCTTCCTTTCACCTGATGGCTGGGGTCCTGTTTGGGTTTCTTGTCTGCTTTGAGGAAAGTTAGGATAACCACATGGCTCTATGGTCTGTCTTATTTTTCATTATTTAACAAAAAGAAAGAAAAACTTGCCCAGAGGACCTACCTGACTTTTAAAAAAATATAGACACAATTTATTTTCAGATCACCAATTTTTGGCAGCCAAAATCTTGTACAGAATCAGATTCTCACAATCCTGTGTAGAATTGAATTTGTAAGATGGTTACAAATGAATGATTTTTTGACTTAAGTAAAACTTGGTGAGGCCTAAAGTAGTTTGTTTGTGTTTGTGTGTAAAGTAAAAGTGATTTTTATAATCACAAGGCAGTCATAATATGTGACCTTTAACTTACAAATATGACCCATTAGAGCAATTAAAYCTCCTGTAAAGAATCTGGAAAAGTTTCGGTTCCCAGTTGATCCTAACAAATAAAATCCTGTTTCAATCTTTACTATCGACCAATGTATTCTTTTATTTCGAAAAGAATTGACAACCTCAAAGAGCCACAAAGGTATTTCATGTGTCTTTGGAGTGAATCCATTTGGAAGTAATAGTTCACAAAAAAAACGTCTGATGAACGAATGCCATGCTTGAATTAACTCTCCAGATCTGCTCTGAAGTTGACTCTTCAGAGACGTTGGAGAGACATTAGTTGCAGAGACAATATCTAAATCTGCGCTTTTCTTTACAAGCCTTCTTTTTTTCTTCTAAAGACTGCTGTTTAGTGTGCAATTATATTTAACAATAGGCCAAGCCAATGGAGGATGCAACCCGTTACCATGGAAATGATTATGATGGATTTGTGGATAGACAGAGCAGGTAATTGGAAAAAGATTGATGGGTGACAGAGTGAAAGAGAGAGGCAGAAAAATGGACGGAAAGAGAGGGATAAATTACTGATGCAGCGGTGGGAGGAAAGAAAGTCCTATTACACCTCATCTTCATGGGATTTACAATTATTAAATGATGCATCCTTTCTCATCTAGTCAATAGGCAATCGCTCTTTTTTCCTCTTGCAGTCGTTCCCTCTACTCTCGTTTTTTCTGGCTTCGTATTAGCCCCCTTTTTTTAAACCCAATACTCTGTTTTTTCTTTTTTGTCTCTGGTTCTCCCGTTGTCACTATGTTTCCCTGCTGACTCCAAGGAGAAAAGTGGATCCATTGTGTAAAATTCCTCTCATTATCACTCAGTGCAGAGAAGTGCTGTAAAGGGTAGGGAGACGTCCCTCTGCCTCAGATGCATTACCAAAAGTAGTGCAGAGGGAATGTAAAGATGTGGTGTGTCTGTAATGACATGTTTTCACTTATTGTGGAGGAGCTTTGAGCTTGGATGGGCTTTTTGATCAGTCTGAAGACACTGGTGAGGAGACAGTCTGATTAGAAATTACACATGATGGGGGTAAAATGGG